TATATATATGTAGTCTTGCATACTAAAGTGCCTGCTTATGCAGACTCAGGGACCAGGGCTCCATCCCTGGGGTGCTGTGCTGGCCCTGCCCCTGAGGCATGCTGAGAGGGCCACTGGGACTGTAATCCCAGCGCTTGGGAGGCTGAAAACAGAAGGATCACTATGAGTTCAATCTGTGTAGTGAGATCCTGAACACCTTGTACTAAATAAAAAAAATAAATTAATTAATTAAATTAAAAATAAGGTCTTCTTTGATGACATATGGTGAGCCTCAGCCTACTCTTAATAGCTCTTCTTGGCTTTTATTTCTTGAGTACATATTTGCAGCACATAGCAACATGTTGCTTGTAGGGAGTTGGTCACACGCACAACACATCTCAATTCTTCCCTCCCCTCTTCTCTTCCTCCCTTTCCTCCATCCCTTCATCCCCTTTCCCTTTGAGAAAGCCCTATGTCCCTGCTTCCCATCACTGTATCTACTATTCTGCTCTTTATCTATATTTTGGGCTTCTCCTATAAGAATAATCATATGATATTTAAGCTCATGTGTCTAATTTATTTCGTTTAACCTTATCTCCAAATACATCCATTTTCCTACGAATGACTCAAGTTTATCTGTAGGGCAGAGCAGTACTCCACTCTATGTAATACTACATTTTCTTTCTCCATTCATCCTACGCTCCGCTTCCTAAGTGACAGTATCGAGCAACACCAGTTAACTCCCGTTGCTGAGCGTCATCTGTGATGCCTCTTACTCACTTCTATGGAATACATGACAGAGCTCGGGTGAGTGGGGAAGAGGTGATATGCTGCGTTAAGGAGTTAAATTTTAAAAGCCAGAAAGAAGCTAACAGATCCAATGCAGTTATGGCTAATGGGCCCTGATTTGAACCCTGCTTTTAAAGCCTGCTACAGGCTGAATTCTGTCTCTCACTCTCCTGCTAAACTCACACACAGAGGTCCCTGGTACCTCAGGAGGAGAGTGTGTTTAACATGGGGTCTTTGAAAAGGCATTTAGGGTAAAATGAGATTATTATTGCGACCACTGTCCTAAGAAGAGGAAATCCAGACTCAGATGTGTGGTCAAGGGGTGGCCACGTGGGGACACACAGGTGGCCCTGTCAGGTCAAGGAAGGAGACCTCCCAGACACCGACCCTGGCAACAGCTGACCTTGGCCTTCCAGGCTTCAAACCATGAGAGGGCACACTTGTGGTGTGTGCCAACCGGGTTGCCGCACCAGTTATGGCAGCCCTGGAAGACAGACGGACTTCCTACTGCATGTGAGGTTACTGACTCATACGCTGAAGGTGGAAGGAAAATGTCACATGGCTTTCTATGTCACTCCCACTCCGCCACTTCATAGAGGGAGAGTAACATTTCTTTAAAGGGGTCTCCTATGAATACTTCGAAGTGGCTCTATAAAGCTAAAGCACCCTGCCTAGAAAGTGAACTCTGTGTGTCTTCCAGTATTCTGGATGGCAGTAGGAGATGCTGTTTCTGAAAAATGTACATTTCTAAACTCTTTTTAAAATTTCGTGTTTACTTTTATTCTTTTCCAGTTGTTTCAAAACAAAAACTGGCAATCAAGTATTTTCCAAGCAAGTGAACCCTCACCAGCCACATACGGACACAACTGGGTCAAAAAAAAAAAAAAAAAAAAAGATAAACTTGAATGATTGTAGGAAAATGGATGTACCAATAAAGTTAGGTTAAAAAAAAAAATCACACACAGGCTTAAATATCACACGGTTTCTTTTATACCAGAAACCCAAAGGACAAGTAAAGAGCAAACTAAAAGGGAAACAAAGGTAAGTAGGGAGATGTCTTTCTCAAAGGAGAAAAGGATCAAGAGAAGGGGAACAGAAGGGAAAGTTTATGAAGAAAGGAATTAAGACATGTCATGTGTCTTGCACCAGCTCCATACAAGGAATGCAGCGTTGCGCACTGCAAACATGGGCTAATAGAAAATAATAAATAGAACATCTTGAAAATGTAAAAAATAAGTCCCAGAAAAATGAGTGCAAGGCTCACCCCCAGGCCAACAGGACTCACATGCCCTGGGCCCTGGGAATTCGTGCCAGTTAATTCCAAGTTTTCGCCCTCACCAGGGCCTTCCAGAAGCACACGGCAGGTTGGCACAAGTTAGCTTTCCCGAACACAGGGCATTTTCAAAAACATGAAATCCCATGAATAGAAGGCACTGGTAACAGCAATCTGGAATCACCGGTGAGACAGCCTGGTAGCTGCAGGGCCGCTGTCATAGATGTTTGGCTCTGAGGTGGGGGCCGCAGGCTGGCCAGTGTTCCGACACCCGCTGCACACTGCAGAGGCCAAACTACGGCCTTCCAATGGGAGGCTGGCAACGTCTTTAGAAAAAAGCTATTCAAGAGATGCCAATTAAGACTGAGTGTGACTGGCTTCACACCAGGCGCCGCACTACAAATAGGCACAAAATTGAAAAGAAAGACCCCTGAAGCACGGAGGCGAAAATGAAAAGCCAAACACTGCCCAAAAAAGAACATATGAAAAGAATTTTAAATAAATGATTGCTTCCTCTGCGACTTTGCCGAAAATTCCGCCTACATTTCTGTAAGAGAAAAGGCCAAGGCGTGGCCTCCTCCTCTCCTTAGTAAATGTATTTTACTACAGTCTTTTTTCTTGGAGTTCCGCCCACTTGTTATTAAACACCTGCTTTCACCTACTGCTTTGTATTTTGGCTCTGGGTCCTCAGTTAAGCAATCAGCATGCAGCCAACCATTAGAAGGGCATCCCAGGAAGCTTCTAGAAGGCGTCAAGTTGAGACTGTGGGCTTTCCCTGGGGGCAGCTGACATTCAGCTGACAGTTCCTTACCTTTTCATGTGGTACCTTTGCTTGTAACGAATCTTATTTCAAACCTGATTGCTAAAAATGAATTATTTTGGTGCTTTATAATATCAACAAACTATATGTAAGAGAAAAAAGGATTTCTGGCAAGGAGATTCTGCTAGAATTTCAAAACTGTACTTGACCATAGGAGTATTTACTCACTCTTGAGTAGTACACAGGAATGGCCAAATTCAACAGGCTGCTTGGTACAGAACAGAACTGGACACTTTGTAACTTTTACCTCAAGTAAAGAAAAAAGGTACATGGGGCTAGAGAAACACTCACTTATAATTTATTTCCCAAAGGAAGGGCCTGACTTGAAGAATGTTCACTGAGATTCCATCTTACTCCCTCCCTGAAAGAACGACCTTTACCAAGACATCAGAGAATAATAATAATAAGGCTGATGGGGGGTCATCTACACTGTTCGTGGGAATATAAACCAGTATAAGCACTATGGAAATTAGCACAGAAATTACTCAAAAAGCTAAATTTAGAAATTCCATTTGGGCCAGCTACTCCCCTTCCAGGTATCTGACCCAGAGTAACATCACGCTGCAGTGATGCACACAACCCATGCTTATAGCAGCACAGTTCATAAAAGCTAAATCTTGGAAGCAGCCATATGTCCTCAACAGATGAGTGGAGAAAGAAAATGTGGCATTCACACACCGGGCAGCACTGCTCTGCCACACAGAAAGGCAAACTCCAGCCATCAGTAGGACTGTGGGTGCACACTGAGGCCATGATGTCAAGGGTAATGAATGAGAGCCACCAGCTTCTGTCCCACATGGTTTCCCTTCTGTGAGAAGCCCAAGCTATAAATAAAGAGAAAAACAAAGGACAGGCAGTGGAAAGTGGGGAGAGAGCTTTCTCAAGTGGGAAAGCAATCAAGAGATGGGGGGGGGGGTGAAGACAGAAATGGAGAAGAGGTCTGTACATCCACAACTCCACACAAGGAAAGTAAACAGCACGTAGTGCAAGCAGGTGTTTATAAATAAATTTTAAAGAGAATCTTCTAGAATGTTTGCTGATTCTGAGACCTCTTCCCAAAGATTCTGATTTTACTGATGCAGAATATGAGACATGGAAATCACTGTTGTTGCCAACAACAACACACAGGAGGTGATTCTCACATCTGGGTTAATTTGTGAAAAGTCACCCCTCAGTCTGCAGCACCCCAAAATTCCTCCAGGATCTGTACCCCAAAGACATGCACCTTCAAAATAAAAACACAACGACAAGGAAAAGCTATGATGATTCAATGCATACTTTCAATGTGACTCTTAAAAAATGTCAGCACATGACTATCACAGTAAACCTATTTTTAAAATTAGTCTACTTACTCATAAAACTTTAAAGCTTTCATAAAATGGTTTTTTGGCTGCTGCAAGAAGGCAGGTCAAAGTTAAGATCTTATGTGAGAATTGTTCAAAAGTCTTTTGGGGGTACACTAAAGGCTGTTTCCTAGAAAGCAGGAAAGCAGGCCTTCTACCTAGTGGAAGATGGTGATCACAATTAACTGGAGGTGGTGGTGGAGGCCAACGCTGAGCGCAAGCATGCTTGCTCTGGAGCTGTCCAAGCATGAAGCCACGAAAGGCACTTTCTAATACAAGGACTCAGAAAATTATAGGACCCAGGAGCCTTTCTCAAAACCAAAAGAAGGGGTCCAGGAAGGGCCAAAAAGGTGTGGAAGTCCCCAATGCAGAGATTCATCTCCAGAAGAAACTAAAAGAAAACCCGGTGTCTGGTGCCGAGGGAGCCAAGGCTCAGTCTGAATGTCTTAAACATAAGACAATACTTGGAAAAGAACCCCACACATCTGGAGATAGGCATGGGGGTAAGTCTATGGGACACCAAGCAAGCAAATAAAAAAGAACGATGAGGACCCAGGGATATAGCTCAGTGGCACAGCACCTGCCTGGCAAGTGCGAGGTCCTGAGTTTGATTCCTGGTAAAAAAAAAAAAAAAAAAAAAAAAAAAGAAGA